CGGTGGCCATTTTTATGCAAATTAGGCACGGGATATCTAAATCCCTGCCTCATTTGCAATGTCGACCGGCCTAATCTGCGTCCCTCTGCGGACAGAGGGCTGCAGTCTAGACATACCCCTAGAGCTGTACCTTACGCTGCTTCTGACACACATTGAGTCGTTGCTCCATGCCTCAGTTTCCCCATGTGTAAAACAGCAATAAAAGACAGTCACAGGAAGCAACTGCCGATTATTAAACCCCATTTTTAAAACTTTTTTTGTTATAAAGGGGTTCAAAGGCGCTTCCTCTGGATATTTAAGCTGGGTAGAAAGGGCTGTTTTACAGTGAAATCTGTCACATGAAATCTCTGGGTCAATCACCCATTATTTGGCTGGGAGCAGGAAACGGCGGGTGGAATTCTCTGACCTCCTGCATCTGAATTCAGAGAAGGCTGCCTGTACTACTTCATGCCAGGCCTCTTCTGGGTCCTGGCTGGGATCACTCGGTACCTGAGGAGGATAAACTATGAGGGGCTGCAGTGCTCCAGCAGGCAATTTCTCCCTGCACCCCTAACGTTCCCCCCACCCCGTCTCACTGGCCTTCATGAGGAACAGGCACACACACAGAGACTCTTCATCAGGGCTTTGAAATTTATGTCCTGCCTGGTTCATCGTGGGCCCAGAATCATTTCTTTTTAAATCCCCCAGCTGTAGCCACTCGTTGCTAGCCTGCAAAGGGATGATTTATATTTCAGAGAATGAATCAATGCAGTCTGTGGCCAAAGACATCTTTAATCTCGCAGAAGGATTAGGCCGCAGAGGGGGACGGCAGCAGCAGCCCACGGCCGTTCCGATCAGATTTCAATTTGGAGACGGGCGCCTCTTTCTCCCCTCCCCAGCCCGCTCCCCCTCGCCTTCCTCCTTTCTTTTCTTTCGCTGCGGCTGCTGATGGTGGAAACATCACATTTCATTTAGCAGGCGGGTGCTGCTGTAACTGGCTATTAGTTCTGAGCTAGTGACAGGGGCTGGCTTTGGGCTACCCTCCGTTGGAAGGAGAGTTAAGCGTTAACGGGGGAGATGCAATGCAATATTGGGAAGTATTCCACCCACACTGTGGGTCCATTTGTATCAGGGGTGCAGGCTGCCATATGGCTTTTTTGCAACACCCCCTGTGGGAATACCCTCCCGCCCCAGCATAAAGGCCACTCAGGGTACATCTAAACAACAGCGCTATTTCGAAATAACATGTGCGTCTGCACTGCAAGCCTTTATATGGAAATAGTGGCGAGTTGGAGGACTTCTTCCTCCGTCTCCTGTAACCCTGCTTTCAAGGGGAGTAAGGGAAGCTAAAGGCAGAGCGTTCGGCCTTCGACTTCTTGCTTGGTAGCCAGCACCAAAAGCCGAGTTAAGCTACTTCGACTTCAGCTCCGCAATTGCCGTAGCTGAAGCTGTGCAGCTTAATTCGACTTTAGCCCTGCTGTGCAGACGGGCCCTTAGAAACCACCCTGGAGCAGGAGCAGGGGCGGCCCGTCCATATAGGCGAACTAGGCGGTCGCTTAGAGTGCCAAGTTAAATGGGGCGCCAAATGGTGGCGCAATATCATTGAGGGGCTTGGAGGTGGGGGCGCCGATTGCATGGTTCGCCTAAGGCGCCAGTTGCTGGCAGCTAGTCTAGGGCCACCCTGAGCAGGAGGGGTGTGAGGACAAGTGATTCCTACTCACTGCAATAGCATTCCTAGTCACTGCTCTGCTTTGTGACAGAGAGGGACATTGCCACCCCCACTGGTCTCCGCATGTGCCCACGGATGAGCTGGGCTTATCTACCTGCCTGGAGAAGAGACGCTCACAGTGGAAATGAACAAACAGGGACTGAATTGACCCATCACCCTGCAAGGCTGCAGAGCCTCCGAGCCAGGTTCTCTGTAGTGTAGGTTTTACCCTGCACAGTGGAAACAAGGACCAGGATTGACTAAATCCTTCTCTCTTCCTAGGAGTGTGGTTCCCCTCTGAGCCAGGGCAGGGTGCTGGCCTTAGGGTCTAAATAATCTAATGTCACTCCATCCTAGCAAAGGGTGACCCCTCCTTTCCTTGCATGGGGAGAGGAAGTAGGGGAGAGGGCTCTCCCTTCATGCCAACCACACTGTTTCTTCCTCCTTGGACTTCTAGGCTGTGTCTAGACTGCATCCCTTTTCCGTAAAAGGGATGCAAATTAGACACCTCGCAATTGCAAATGAAGCGGGGATTTAAATCCCCTCCGCTTCATTTGCATAAACATGGCTGCCGCTTTTTTCCAGCTCGGAGCTTTGCTGGAAAAAAAGTGCCAGTCTAGATGGGGATCTTTTGGAAAATAAAGCCTTTTCCGACAGATCCCTTATTCCTCTTAAAAAAAAGGAATAAGGGATCTTTCGGAAAAGGCTTTATTTTCCGAAAGATCCCCGTCTAGACTGGTGCTTTTTTAAAGAGGAATAAGGGATCTTTCGGAAAAGGCTTTATTTTCCAAAAGATCCCCATCTAGACTGGCACTTTTTTTCCAGCAAAGCTCCGAGCTGGAAAAAAGCGGCAGCCATGTTTATGCAAATGAAGCGGAGGGGATTTAAATCCCCGCTTCCTTTGCAATTGCGATGTGTCTAATTTGCATCCCTTTTACGGAAAAGGGATGCAGTCTAGACACAGCCCTAGGGTCTTCTTCATCCCACCGGGACTGCCCAGGTGCAGCCCAGACATCGAATCCCCACCACCAGGGATGCCCCACAAACTGCCGCTCCTCCTCAGACCGTTGTGACCACAAGCTGTGCCACTCCAAGTGCTGAGGTGAGATTTGTCACGGGAGCCTACCTGCAGAGTGTTACCCATGGCCACGGTGGGAGCCTCAGGAGTCATAGAATCCTAGCACACTAGAACTGGAAGGGACCTTGACAGGTTACCGGTTTGAGTTACTGATCTGTGACAAAGTCCAAAGAAAACACACTTGCATTTTCTTGCAAACTTAATTATGAACATTCAAATGGCCTCTATAAGCTCATCCAATGTTGAAAGTGCAGCACGTTGTACTTGGCCAATAGCCATGCCATCAAACATTATTGCCCTATTCTCTGGAAGGTGGTCAGTAAGGCAGTCTCCACCTTTGGATTGATGCTCAAGCACATCTGTGTTTTTTTGAGGGGGAAAGGGTTGCCAGAACATCAGCAGCACTAGCAAGAGGGTAGGAAAAGATTTCCCAGAGACTGAACTAGAGGCATATAACAGTTTTTATTAAACTGAATTTCTTGTGAATCTTAGATGATTGACAAAGTCATCAAGTCCAGTCCCCTGCCCTCACAGCAGGACCAAGCACCATCTAGATCATCCCTGACAGATGTTTACTTAACCTGCTCTTAAATATCTCCAGGGATGGCAATTCCACAACCCCCCTAGGCAATTTATTCCAGTGTTTGACCACCCTGACAGTTAGGAAGCTTCTCATAATGTCCAACCTAAACCTCTCTTGCTGCGATTTAAGCCCCTTGCTTCCTGTCCTACCATCAGAGGCCAAGGAGAACAATTTTTCTCCCTCCTCATCGTAAAACCCGTTTAGATGCCTGAAAACCGCTATCATGTCATAGAATCATAGAGCTGGAAGAGACCTCAGAAGGCCATCAAGTCCAGCCCCCTGCTCTAGGCAGGACCAATCCCAACTAAATCACCCCAGCCAGGGCTTTGTCAAGCTGAGACTTAAACACCTCTAGGGATGGAGACTCCACTACTTCCCTAAGGAACCCATCCCAGTGCTTCACCACCCTTCTAGGGAAATAGTTTTTCCTAATATCCAACCTGGACCTCTCCCACCACAACTTGAGACCATTGCTCCTTGTTCTGCCATCTGTCACTGCTGAGAACAGCCTCTCTCCATCCTCTCTGGAACTCCCCTTCAGGAAGTTGAAGGCTGCTATCAAATCTCCCCTCACTCTTCACTTCTGCAGACTGAACAGACCCAACTCCCTCTGCCTCACCTCATAAGTCATATGCTCCAGCCCCCTAATCATCATGTCTCCTCTCAGTCTTCTCTTTTCTAAATTAAACAAGCCCAGTTTTCCAGTCTTCCTTGAGAGGTCATGCATTTTTGACCTATAACCATTTTTGCTGCGCTGCAATGAGACTATGTGA